ATCACGCAGCGGAACGCAACCTAGCATTGCATTGCATGCCGTGGCATGGCACGGGAAATGACGCCAACGCTGCAGCGGGAGCACGAGTCGGAACGAGCGGAAGCGCGGAAATGGGACCAGCGCTGCAGCGGGAGCACAATTCGGAACGAGCGGAAACACGGAAATGAGGCCAGCGCTGCAGCGGGAGCACGATTCGGAACGAGCGGTGCCCGAACATGAGGCCGGCGCCTCAGCGAGAGCAGCATTTGGAAAACAAATGCAGGCGAAAACCCAACTCCGGGGAATCCTGTGTAAAAAAAACAGTACGCGGGGGGGGGGCGAACACTCCCAACCCGTCATCAGGGAAAGGGGGAGAATAGTATTCATATTGACTCATTGTGAAAGGAGAGAGGGGGGGCCGGGAGAGGGGTGGGGTGGACAGGAGGGAAGGGGGGAGGGCAGGAGAGAGGGGGCGGAGGGGGAGGGGGACAGGCAAGCTAGGTGCGCTCGCGTCATATCTGACATCCTGCCCCTCCCTCCCATCCCTTACCATGGCGCAGATCCCCTCTCTACTCGCACAGTCGGATGTCGAGCAGGGCAATGATCCCAAAAGGGTACGCGATGCATTGTAGAGCACGGCATGGCATGGCGTAGAAGCGCACGGCAAAGCGTAGTATCAACCTAGCAATGCATTGCACGCCGTGGCATGGCACGGGAAATAACGCCAGCGCTGCAGCGGGAGCACGAGTCGAAACGAGCGGAAGCGCGGAAATCTGCAGCGGGAGCACGATTCGGAACGAGCGGAAACACGGAAATGAGGCCAGCGCTGCAGCGGGAGCACGATTCGGAACGAGCGGTGCCCGACCATGAGGCCGGCGCCTCAGCGAGAGCAGCATTTTGAACAAAATGTAAGCGAAAACCCAACTCCGGGGAAACCTGTGTGTAAAAAAATATCCCGGCAAAGCAACCTAACAGCGATGTGTAGAAGCATATATGGAAGCATTCCCCTTAATATTCAGATGAGAATCCAGTTGTAGAGTTCTGCTGTTCTCGCAGTCGCAGTCGCATTCGCGATGACAGTCGCAGTGGCAGCGGCAGTCGCAGTCACAGCCTCAGCCTGCCTCAGTATCAGCCTGCCTCAGCCTCAGCCTCAGCCTGCCTCAGCCTCAGCCTCAGCCTGCTTCAGCCTCAGCCTCAGTCTGCCCTCAGCCTCAGCCTCTGTGCCTCAGCCTGCCTCAGCCTCAGCCTGCCTCAGTATCAGCCTGCTTCAGCCTCAGCCTCAGCCTGCCTCAGCCTCAGCCTCAGCCTTCAGCCTCAGCCTCAGTCTGCCTTCAGCCTCGGCCTCAGCCTCAGCCTGCCTCAGCCTCAGCCTGCATCAGCCTCAGCCTCAGCCTCAGCCTGCCTCAGCCTCAGCCTGCCTCAGCCTCAGCCTCAGCCTGCTCAGCCTCAGCCTCAGCCTCAGCCTCAGCCTCAGCCTGCCTCAGCCTCAGCCTCAGCCTCAGCCTCAGCCTCAGCCTGCCTCAGCATCAGCCTGCCTCAGTCTCAGCCTCAGCCTGCCTCAGCCTCAGCCTGCAGCCTCAGCCTCAGCCTCAGCCTCAGCCTGCCTCAGCATCAGCCTCAGCCTCAGCCTCTGCCTCAGCCTCAGCCTGCTCAGCCTCAGCCTCAGCCTGCCTCAGCCTCAGCCTCAGCCTCAGCCCTCAGCCTCAGCCTGCCTCAGCCTCAGCCTCAGCCTGCTCAGCCTCAGCCTCAGTCTGCCTTCAGCCTCGGCCTCAGCCTCAGCCTGCCTCAGCCTCAGCCTGCATCAGCCTCAGCCTCAGCCTCAGCCTCAGCTCAGCCTGCCTCAGCCTCAGCCTGCCTCTGCCTCAGCCTCAGCCTGCCTCAGCCTCAGCCTCAGCCTGCCTTCAGCCTCGGCCTCAGCCTCAGCCTGCCTCAGCCTCATCAGCCTCAGCCTGCCTGCCTCAGCCTGAGCCTCAGCATCACCATTCTCAGCCTCTGCATCAGCATCAAAATGTGGCCCGGGAGTGGAGTTCTGGGAAGTCGAAAAGCACGAAGTTGCCTACAGTTGGCTCTGGGCATTCAAAATGTGGCCTGGGAATGGAGTTCTGGGCACTCGAAGAACACGAAGTAGCCTACAGTTGGCTCCGGGCATTCAGAATGTGGCCCGGGAATGGAGTTCTGGGAGGTCGAAGAGCACGAAGTGGCCTACATTTGGCTCCGGGCATTCAAAATGTAGCCCGGGAATGGAGTTCTGGGAAGTCGAAGAGCACGAAGTGGCCTACAGTTGGTTCCAGGCATTCAGAATGTGGCCCAGGAGTGGAGTTCTGGGAGGTCGAAGAGCACGAAGTGTGTGACTGTTTGCGAAAAGCGCATTCGGACACGAGTTCGGACACAGCTCCCCGGATGCCGCCCCGACCCCCCTGTGGAGTCATCTGCTGCTCTCTTTTGACCCCACTAGAAACCTATCAGCAAAAGCTGTTAGGTAACAATACGCGGGGGGGGGTCGGACACTTTCAAACCGTCATCAGGGGAAGAGGGAGAGTAGTATTCATATTGAATTAGAGAGGTGGGGGGGGGGACAGGAGAGAGGAGGGGGGGGGACAGGAGACAGGGGGGGAGGGGGGGGAAGGAGAGAGGGGGAGAGGGGGGGGGACAAAAAAGAGGAGGGGGTGGGGAAGTGAAAGAGAGGGGGGGGAGAGGGGGACATGAGAGAGGGGGGGGAGACAGAGAGAGGGGGGGGAGGGAGGGGGGGGGGGAGGGGGGGGGGAGGAGGGGGGGGGGGAGGGGGGGGGAGAGGGGGACACGAGAGAGGGGGGGGGGGGGGGGACAGGGGGAGAGGGGGGAGGGGGGGGAGGAGGCAAGCTAGGTGCGCTCGCGTCATATCTGACGTCCTACCCCTCCCTCCCATCCCTTACCATGGCGCTGATTTTCTCTATCCGCGGACGCGTGTCGTAGCGGACCTGTGGCTCCGCGCGCGCGTGCGTAAGTAGTGGGTGGTGGTGCGCGTGCGTGCGTGCGTGCGTGTGTGCGTGGTTGTGGTGGTGGTGGTGGTGGTGGTGGTGGTGGTGGTGGTGTGGTGGTGTGTGTGCTGGGTGTGGTGGTGGTGGTGCTAGGTGTGGTGTGGTGTGGTGCTGGTGTGGTGGTGGTGGTGGTGGTGGTGGTGGTGGTGGTGGTGGTGGTGGTGGTGGTGGTGTGGTGGTGGTGGGTGGTGGTGGTGGCTGGTGGTGGTGGTGGGTGGTGGTGGTGGTGGTGGCGGCGCGGGTGGCGGCGGATGGGCGCGCGAGAAAGAGGCCCGCGCTGGGGCGAGAACGCCATCCTCAACGACGGAGGCCAAACACCGATCCGAAAATGAGGCCCACGCTGGAGCGGGAGCACGATTCGGAACGATTCGGGAGCAGAAATGAGGCCGGCGCCTCAGCGAGAGCAGCATTTTAGAAAAAAACACAAGCGAAAACCCAACTCCGGGGAATCCTGTGTGTAAAAAAACAGTACGCGGGGGGGTGCCGAATATCTTCCGGACGCCATCAGGGGAAGTGGGAGAGTATTTTCATATTGTGTAATTGTAAAGGGAGAGAGGGGGGGGGGACAGGAGAGAGGGAGAGGGGGACAGGAGAGAGGAAGAGAGGTGGGGAGGGGCGGCCGGGATCATCACCATCTCCACCACCATCACCATCACCATCGTCTCATCACCATCATCATCACCATCATCATCATCATCATCATCATCATCATCATCATCATCATCATCATCATCATTGGCATCATCATCAGCATCATCATCAGCATCAGCATCAGCATCAGCACCATCATCATCACCATCATCATCATCAGCATCAGCATCATCATCAGCATCAGCATCAGCATCATCATCATCATCATCATCATCATCATCATCATCATCATCATCATCCAGAGCGTCCCGGATCGGCGGCACTGGCTGGAGGCCACTACAATAGGGGGATGCCAGTCAACCAGGGGAAAAGCAGCAACGCCCTCCCTTTTTTCCGATCCACTGAGAGTAAGGAAAGACTACATTAACCTACAAGCAGTTCAACGAGAATCAACGGGCGCAAGATTGCGAACGCGGCCGGGCGCTGGTCGGACTACTGGTGGGACACGCCAGGGAACTTATTGACAGCATAAACATGCACTTTCGGACCCTCCCCCCTGAACTGCGCTAAGCCCCCCTCCCGAGACGCCGCCAAGGGGGCTCCAGCGCATATCCAAAACATCTGTGCGGATCTCCGGCAGCCCTTGCTTGGAGCGTTCTCTTGTTCTCGGCGGCTGGAAACACCCGAGATCTCGATGCTTCAAGATGTCCCGAGAGCGGCGCCCGTGCACCACACCATGCTTGGACCGACGCTGGGCCCCGCACGACAGCGGTCAAGTGCATAGTCTGTCGGCTCTGATTAAAGGGGCCCTGGGACACACAAGTAGATAGTTCCCATATGTTCTGAATGTTCATCTCCCCCCCCCACCACACTTCCCATATTTTCCGACATTTTCCTGGGAATCGACGATTACTTGTGTCTGTGGGTTTCTTCCCCTCCTGGCTGATGGCCGAAACGCACCGCACTATTCCTGGGTCGAGGACCGACGCCGCCTCGGGGGGTCCGGCTGCTTCCCCCAGGGCACTCTTGCGCCCTGGACCAAGTTTTGAAGGCTCTGGGGCCCGATCATGGGCCCCAGAGCAGCGATCGATGATAAAAACGCATGGCAGAAAAACGCAAACTTGGATATCGATGTATTCGTATGTCCGGCGTCCCCCCTCGAGAGGAGTGCTGGCGGCGCGCAGAGGGCATAGGGGGAGAAGGGAAAGGCTTCTTTTAAAAGGCTGCTTCTCAAAGGCGCGGGCCTCTACATCCACAGACAAGGCGCCGCGCCTTCCAAGAAGCGGGGTGCTTCTGAGAAGCCTTCTTCCCTCCCCACTGCCCCCCTGCGCTTGGCTGAATGCATATGTCTGGCGTCCCCCCTCGACAGGGGTGGTCCGAGATCTCGATGCTGCAAGCCCATGCCGGCCCCTCCACGCTCTCGGCCGCGGCCGCCGCTGCTTGCGGCCGCCGGGGCAGCGCTGGGAGGCCGGCGGCGCCATCCGGCGCGGCTCCCTTCACAGCCAGCGGCGGCGCGATGTGGCCGCTACGGGGGGGGGCGGCGCCCAGGCCGCCTCCCCCCCCCCCGTAGGGAGCAGAAAAACACATCCCCATACTCAGCACCCGGCAAGCGAAGCCGCTTAGTAAACGCACCCATGGCAGGAATCGAACAGGGCAGGGCGGTTCAGTAAACGCCCAGGGCCGTTCACTAAAGGCAAGTTATAAGCGTCGGGGTGACGCTTCTTCCCTTGACTTCCGCCGGCGGCAAGGGTTGCTTGGCAGGGTGGCCAGTGCTCATAGCACGACTACAGTCATCGCGCTACCAAAAGACACGTCGAATAAAGAACGAAGGGGCTTGTCTGGCGATGGCGAGCATCGGCCACGACGCTGAATAAGGAACGGCGCGAAAACTAAGGCCCCTGCTAAACCCCAAATGATTCTTATTGCAACGTCTTGACTGTACGACCAACAGGAAGCTAATCTTGGAAACTCATATGCACATATGTCGCGTGTTCACCGCCTTGCGCTTGCACTGCGTGTGGCGCTGCGCGGTGTTGTAGACTATCAGGACACACGCGTGCGATCCTCCTCGTCGCTCTTTTTCCTGCTTCGCCTTCCTTGCAGCCATGGCTTGAAACACAGCTTGCAGCTACATACAACGGATACCATGACGATCCTCCTCGTATTCCTCCTCCACCTCCCTCCCCTTCCGTTCCTCATCTCTCTTCCCTCTCCTTTCCCTCCTCCTCCTCCCGATCAGGAGCGGCCAGCCGAAGGAGCCCCGCAGGCGGCTTCGGCGGCAGGAGGCGCTGAAGACGGCGAGCCAGGGTGAGCGAGAAAGGACGACGAGAAAAAGCCAACGACAGCTCGATCCCAAGGCACACGTCATAGTTACTTAGGGCGACGGGATTTGAACATTTGCGCTGCCCCAGGCCTGGTCCATCCTGGGCTCAGGAGCGGTGCATACTCCCTCCTAGGACCTCGACCCCAAACTCGCTTGGAATTGTGTGTTGCTTTGATGCATGTTCAATGCGGCTGCACCGTCATAGCTGTTTCCGAACTCCTCCCCCCCATGTTCCATATCCTGATCCCCTCCTCGTGCTGCTCGTCCTCTCCTTCTTCCTCTTGTTCCTCCCAATCCCGATCCTGCGCCAGGGGTGCATAGACACCACTCCCGAGTCCAGGATGGGCCAGGCCTGGGGTAGCGGACATGCACAGGTCCCTTTGCCCTAATTTGTGCAGAGGCTGCAGAGCCCAGGGACGACGGGAAGTCAACAAAATGGTACGTGTTCTTCCTCCGAGGTCGGCCAGATTCCTCGATAGCGAGAAGGTGAGTGAGCGAGAGATATCGATGTGTTCACACACTAACTCAGAAAGGCATGCACGTATGTATGCATGCATGCATAAATGTATGTATATATGTATGTAAGTAAGTATACGCGTATATATGTGAATATACAAATGCAGAGGTGTGTATCCAAATATTTTCATATATATGTATACTAAAACAATCGCGCGCTTCGCGCGCGCCCAGGTTCTAGCAGGCCCCAGGCCTTGACGAGTCCACTGCTGAACTGAAGTATTGGACCACATATGGTTTGAACGATAAATGGAATGTGGCTCGGGGGCATCGTGAGGAGGCTCAAAGGCTACTTTGAGTCGGCATGGGGCTGTCTTGGATAAGCACGTCTGAAAACTGTTGCACATGATGGCGTGGATCTGATCCCCGTCTCCGTGGGTCAAAGTCATCTTTCCCGGAACGCATTTCAACCTAGCATGTGTCGCACAGATTGGATGTCCACCCCGATGTGAACTATTTTGCGTGGGTCTGTTCGATGACTCGGACGGATATGATATCCATGGCTCTAGACCGCGAGCGCGTTAAGATTCTACGGGGGAGGGGGGCGGCATTGGTTCTCAAGATTAACAAGGTATGCCCTCACCCCATCCGGCCAACAACACAGAGGTCACACCCAGCATGAACACATCCTCATCTCTCTCTCTCTCTCTCTCTCAGAGCAGATGCCGACAAATAATCAGAACGCCGCAAGCGGTCCCGGTCATCACGGTTCGCACCCAAGGGGAAAATCTTTCCTCCAGGGTACGTCTTTACATGTGAATGTACATGTTGATATACACACATTCCCCAAGCAGTGCTTTCACTTCGGTGTTCTTACTTGTGAAATACGGTACTGGGCTGGTGTGACGCTCTGGCGGTTATGTAGTCGCCGTCGCCGCCCCGTCGCCGCCTCGTCGCCGCCAGTCGTCTGGGCCGGTGTGCCGCTCTGGTGGCTATGTAGTCGCCGTCGCCGTCGTCGCCGTCCCGTCGCCGCCCGTCGTCTGGGCCTTGCTGTGCATTGCGGTTTACTGCTTGCACGGCGTTGCCTTGCACAACATGGGTTGCATCACAGATTTTGATTCACATATTTTCTGCAACATCGGTTATTCCGAATAGATTGCACTGCCAGGATTGCACCACATAGATTGCACACCATCGGTTGCGCAGCAAACGTGAAAAAAGAACAAATGGCACAACATGTATTCTCTTGCTATAAAAGAATAACAGATCAACCCACCCACCGTTTTCCCTATTCGTGTTGCAATTTTGGCACGGTTCTGCCTCATCGCCCATCCTAAGTATGGAACTAAACCACGCCAGCGAGGCCAAGAACGCTCCCAATTCATCTTCTGCAAAAAACTATGCGGGCGCGCTAGTTTTCAAACATCGTCAGTTTCCATAAGCCAGCTTACAAAACACCACCAACAACAACAACAACAGCAACAGCAACAGCAACAGCAACAGCAACAACAACAACAACAACAACAAAACGGCGCGAAATGCGCACGCGCGCGTTGTCGCGCGCGCGCGTGCCGGAATCCGTCAAGAACTTTAGGCTTCGGAAGCATATTTAAAATAGAGTGCCCCGAGACATAAAAAATGTGGTTTTGCAAATGGATGCTCAAAAAACTTGGGTTCCGATTTCTCGCGGATCCTTTAGGGGACCACCGGTTCTTCAAACGCGTCGTAAAATGCGACCAAAAGGGCATCTCGCGCGCGCACCAGAAACGCCCGAGCGACCTTGCACGCATGCTGTCGCAAGGATCTTCTGCAAAGAACGGAGCGAAGTGTCCACGCGCGCGTCGTCGCGCGCCCATGCAGAACTTCCTCAAAAATTGAAGAATTTCGCGGGGATGTCAAAACCGAGTGTCCCGAAAACGTATGAACTGAAAGTTGGATGTGCAACGCGAGTTTTTAAAAAATGCCTGCGCTCGCTCTGCTGCGCACTTCTTCTCAACAGTTTCACACAATTCTGCCAAACGCCCTGTCGCTGTGCACGTCGGAACCACTCGCACGCCCAACCGCGCGTACTGGGGAGGGGGTGGTGGTGGCACGGTCCGTGTCAACTAATACCCTGCGGGCCACTTTCGCACTTTGGCCGCGCGCGCGTCGAGCTCCTTCCAAAACTGTTCATCACCGACGCGAAGACGCCGTCATCGTCGCCGGCGTGATCAGCATCGGCGCCGTCAGTGGCCTTGCCGTCGTCGTTGTCACCATCGTCACCAGCATCGCTACCATTATCATCGCGTATACCGTTGCCGACGTTGCCGTGATACCGCGCCCGCCCAAGTCGCCGAATCGCATTGAAGTGCCCACTTGGCAGCGGTCATTGCCACCGCGGCCGCGTCGGTCGCGCCAAATTAGCTGGCCGCTGCGCGCGCGAGCATGCGCGGGCTAGCGCGGCCGCAGAGATGCACCAGCCAACTCCGAGCATTCATCACAATCACCGCCGCACGGGCTTTGCAAACCAAGTTGCGGATGGGTGGGTGTGGTGATTTCACGAGCAATGGGGTAGACAGCTCACTGCGAACATACATGAATTGCACCACGTAGGGTGCATCCAACGGACTGCATAACATATAGTGCCCAACGTGTACTGCACAACATATATTGCACCACACAGGATGCACCACATAGATTGCACTAAGCAGATCGCACCACAAATATTAACAACACAAATTGCTAGAAACACACTGTTTGAGGTCCACGCTGGTTAACATGTTGGTATATGTGTGCTGGTGCTGTACACATACGTTTACGAACGAACGTTTGAACATAGAGTAGAAAGAGAGAAAGAGAGAGAGAGAGAAAGAGAGAGTGTGAACGAAAGAGCAAACAAACAAAAGGAGAGGGGGAGAGAGAAACAGAGATTGAGGCGGGAGGAAAGATCACGCTTCCCTGACACAGGCCAATGCAATGATCTTCTTTTGGTTTCCCTCCGCAGTGCCGCATGCTGTGTCAACACACAGATGCGCTCCGACCCTAAAGGCAATCAGCTCTGGACGGTGACCTTGGCAGCACATGCTTGCTCAAGCAGACACCATGCCAACGGGACCAATCAACAATCGCAGGACGATGACACCAGCAAGATTCTATGGATTCCCGCTGCCACGCACGAGTGACACAATGGTACAAGACACAGCAACAAAAACCCTTGACCACGTGTGCCCCCTTTCCACGCCCAACCCCTCACTTTTCCCCCTGCCTCCACTCCTCATCCCTCGCTTCCTCCACACCTCCCCCTGCGTGCCCCCATTTCCTGCTAACACCCCCCTCCTCCGCCAAAGGCACCTGGACCTCTCGCGCGGATGTCCCGGGGAACCCGCCCCCAGACTCCCGAAAGGCCAGGCTCCTCCCCACTCTTCCCCCTGCTCCTTCCTCCTCCACCCCTCCAGCGCGCGTCGCTGCTCCCCCTCCTCCTTCTCCACCTCGCCCGTCCTCCCTGCGCATTCCCCCTCTTCCCCCGATCATCCGCGGCCCGCACACCACCTTCAAACAATGGTCTGCTCCGCGGTGGCGGGAAGTAGGTCTGGTTAGGTTTGCTTTCCTCTCATGCGGAGTTCGCTTTGCCGATTCCACATCAAGTCTCGTGCAA